CGACAACGGCCCGAAAGCCACTCCTTGATCTTTCGGTTATTATGTTTGGTCAGGCCATTTGTTTGCGGGTGATATGGTGCCGTCCTCAGCCGTCTGATACTCAGCTTCTGCAAGCAATTCCTAAACTCTTCGCCCTCAAAGCAAGGCCCCTGGTCGGTTAGGATCATTTTTGGCACCGCAGGGTTGGCCATGATGTGATGCATTACCACTCCGCTGGGCGTCGTCGCCCGTTGATTAGGCACGGCTGCCGCCCGGATTCACCGCGACAGGTGCTCTGTCATCATCACGATGTATTGGTTCCCACTGGTTGTCACCGGAAAGGGGCCCATGACGTCAACTGACCACAGCTCGCCGATTTTTGAGACAGGAATGGGTTCCATGGGATGGGTTGCCTTTGTCGTATCCGCTTTCATTAGTTGACAACGCTTACAGGACACCACATAATCTGTCACCTCACTCCTCATCCCCCGCCAGTAGGCACTCTGCTTAACTAAGTCATACGTCTTGGTGCACGCTGTATGTGCCATCTCATGACATTCGACGGTAAGCTTCCGTCTCAAGACGCGAGGTATCACAGGCAGCACAACATCCGAATCAGTGGCGTTCCAGGAAATTATGCCAGCTTCATTCAGCCTTAGCAGATCAAAGTGGCTCTGGAACGTTTTCCTCTCCGTTCTCAATGCTTCTTCCATCCAACAAGGCGGCTGCAACCTTCCGAAACACAGGATCCTGCCGTTGGAATTGCACCAACTTTCCGGAGTCCAATTCGACAATGAGGACTTGGCCCCAATCGTGATCCTGGGGACCCCCTCTTCAGTCTCTGGTCTTGACAGCCAATCAGCCAAGTGGTTTTCCTTCCATAGCACGTGCTAAATTGTGAATTCGTACTCTTGCAACCTGAGTGCTCAGCGCGCGAGCTTTCCGCGAGGATCTCTGGTGGTTCTGATCCACTCCAGGGGTTTGGATCGGTTTTGACGTGAAATCTTTGTCTAAGCAGATATGGCCTTCGCTTATCCAGGGCCCGGACGATCTCTAAGGATTCTTTCTCAGTACTTCTGTTCAGCGTTAGTCAGGACACTACTGGCATATTCGATATCTCTATTCCTCTGCTTTAGAACTGCGCGGATACCGCGATAACTAGCGTCCGTTGTAACAGTGAACATCTCTCCGACCTTGAGAAGTTTGAGGGTCAGTTGCTGATCCGACATCCGCACTTTGACACGCTCAAAGGCTTCATGTGCTTCTCCGGTTCATTCGAATTTCCGATTTTGACTGAGCAAATCGTACATTGGCGCAGCGATCGTGTTGAAATCCTTAACGAACCGGCTGTAGTCCAAAAAACTGCCGTAGAGAACGCTTTGAAT